ACTGCATATATTCCGCGCTTTAGTAATAGTAAATAATAAGTAGTAGTAAAGTAATAGAAATGAAAGTTTCAATTAGTAATGCACTAATATTGTAGAAAATTAACTGGAAAATTAAGGTACTATGTATGATTCAATAAGTTTTTGTAAACCTTTTTTTCACGATTTGATCGTAAAAGCAAATAAAGTTGTCAATAATTTTCCATTAATCTGCATCATTCGAAAAAAATTCAGGGCCGTAAGTCATTTGTAAGGGGCGCTATTTTACTTTGACACTAATTTTCTTCTTTGGCCCCATAGTGTGTCACCTGTCAAAATCAAAGAAAATGTTTTGACAAAACATTCTTAGTTTTTGACGTGCTACTCGATTCTGCAGTAAAATGATGTGGTTACTATTTGAAATTAACAAGCTGGCCCCTGCCTAGTCTACAAGGTAGAAGTAGGCGTTCGTTTCTAAACTTCTCCCTCTCAGATGTTAACTTCTTATTTGACACATTTTTCGTAGGATTACTAATTTCCAAAATATTTCAGGGTTTCAAATTAAAAAAAAAACACCTGTTATAATACACTTATAAAATGATCAAGTAGGATACTCGATGTAAACATCTGCGTAACAGAAATAATGCACACGCATGATATACCTGATTGTCATTCAAAACAGCTCTTAGATCCTTCAGCCAGGAATTATCAGGCCGGCTGGTGTCCAGAGCATCACCAAACGATGACTCATCCTCGATATCACCAACAGGATCATAAAACTTTAGTCTGTCGGCCAATGTACAAACGCTATCCACCAGGCCTGGAGGTGCGCCAACAGGGTTGTAAATAATGCGAACAGCCAGCCTTTCCAGATATTGTAAAGATTTTTGTAGAAGACCAACATCGGCCAGTCTTGTTGCCAGTATAAACTTGTATAGCTGCGGAAAGTATGTTTTTTTTATTAATATAGATATGGGGGCCGATATATTTCAGGCAAATCGCTATTTGTTTAAACGTTTCTGAATCTCTGTAAAACTAGTTTGATTAAACTTTCACTTTGAATTAAAAGCAAGCGTTTCGAAAAATTATATTTCGATCCATAAATGTATACCTGAAACTGAGAAATGTGGAAATCCTGATCGTTCAAGCTGCAGGCAAACTCATATATTTCGGTCATGTGAATGGCCTCGTTGGTGACAAATTGTGGATACGGATTTCTGTGATCGGAGCCCAAAAGAACCAAACGACTGGTGGAATCTCCATGTCTGCCAAATCCCACTTCCGCCATCAAATAGCAGAACTGAGCGGCATAAAGGCTGCCTATGTTCAGCAGTGTGTCGCCTAACTGTGTGATCGCTTTACAGTTTAGTTCCGGCCTCTGAGTCGAATTCGAGAGAATCATAGCAAGGTGGGGTCGCCAGTCGCCCCATTTTTCGTCCGAAGCACACTATAAATATACATAAACAAACTGAGTAATTTCGAACAGGACCGGTAACAGCTAAAACGTAACGGTAGTTCTATATAGGGTGTTCGGATAATGCGTTAGTAACTTTTTGTGTGATTCTACATGTTAAAATAATGATAGTAAGTCATGTTCGAAACATTTTTGAAGTGATAACTATTTTAAACAGATCTTCCAATCACCAACATTAATTGATTTTTTTAGTCCTATTCAGATACAAGTTCTAGCAGACGTTCATGAACAACATACACAAGAGCAGTCACAAAAACATGCTAAAATGCGAAAAGTATTAAGTAATGCTGAACGCCAAAAACGGTTTCGTGCTAAAAAAGGAGCATTAAGTAATAGATCAACTCAAAGTAGCTTTCATCAACCACGAACTAGTGCTGAACGTCAAAGATTATACAAAGCAAATAAGAAATTACGACAAAAAAATACAGAAACTCAAGAAGAAGAGTTTATACAAACCCAAGAAGAGCAATATGTACAACATCTCGTTAAAGAATGTTAAATGTTGCAAATAAAAAAGATATTTTACATTCAAAAGGAAATTAAATTAAATTTTACCTATTCCTGATCCATTTATAAATTATTAGACTAACAAGAATATTAAAATTATAAAATAAAATTATTATTGCCATCATGCGTTAAACAAGTTCAATATTTTATGGTTTCTATAAATATATGAAGTTATCACTT